AATAAATCAAAACTAATTAATAAAACTTTAAAGAAATTTAGGTAAATAATACAATTTTAGGTTAATATGATCAAAGGGACTCTCAAAATAAAATAAAATAATATAATATAAATGAATATACATAAGAAAGATATATGCATAAAACGCCGACCAGAACGTTTCTTTGTGAAATATCAAATGACAGAAGTACTGTGGTAATACGAAATAATTTTGCATTAAAATATTTTATTGAATTATACATTAAAAATATTTATACATTATTATACATTAACATACATTAATAAATAAATAAATAAAAAAAAATATGTATTAAAATCATAATGTCAAAAATTTGATGTTTTGAATCAAATTATCTTTAAAATTATCTTATGGGGACGAACATATTTAAATAATCAAATATGGGGTAATCGAACATGAAAAACTAAACTATATTTGATATTTTTATGTATGACTCGGATTTTTTGATATGAGATTTAACGAAAAGAAGGCAGTTAATAAGAGCAAGTAAAGAAATAAAGAAAATAAAACAAGTAACAGCAAAAACAATAGAAGCAACAGAAGAAGCAAGCAGCAAACAGTAGAAGATAGACATACAGAAAGACAGACTGACAGACAGGCAGGCAAACAGGCAGGCAGGCAGGCAGGCAGACAGGCAGACAGACAGACAGACAGACAGAAAGATAGATAAATAAACAATACAGACGAAATACAAGGAAAATGAACGAATAATCAAAAGTGAGAAAAATATAGTAAGAATGGAAATGTAATGCATCAATTATTTGCATGAATGTTTCCAATGTCGTTGTAATAATAAGATGTTCGGATTAAATTAGAACTTGTCAAATTATAATGCATAATAATAATAATAATAATAATAATAATAATAATAATGATAATGATAATAATTAATAATAGATGATCGATTGTAAAAACCTTAATAATAAAAATAATAATTAAAATCGGAAACCTAGCAAATTTAGCATATCGGATAAGCGCATAAATGTATATTGTACATTGTGTAATTGTTTAGTTTAGATTATATGAATGAATCCTGTCCTGAATTATTGAATCATCATCTAAGAATTGATATCAATTCAGTCTCTTGTCAAAAAAATTTTAAGTTAACGTGTTAATTTCTTTTTTAAATTATTGATTTTCACAAATTAATAATTGATAATTTTTGATAATTTTTGATAATTTTTGATAATTTTTGATAATTTTTAATAATTCTAATAATTCTAATAATAATAATTAATAATTCAAATAATTAATAATCTTAAAAAACAATAATTTAAACAATGACCAAAAAAGAAAAAAAAAAAAATAACCGGCAGACAGAGTAAACCAATAATATCATAAATGATGTTTATGGAGGACAAAATTTAACGCCAAATTATTCGAGTTCTTGAAAAATTTTTTTATTAATCCAAGTTTAAATCAAGTTATAACGAAATATTGAACGAAAACGAAAAATACTGGGTGAAATAAAGATCATATGACAAATAAACCTAAAAATTTCGATTTAATATTAAATTTTAATTTTTATAGTTTTTATAATTTTTATTAATAAGCGATAAACTTTTGTTTATATAATTTAATAAACAAAAAAAAATAAACTTATTTATTATTATTATTATTAACTTGTACACATGATTGTACACCTTTAATTAACCTATTTTTGTTTATCTGACCTAAAAATTTAAAAAGTAAATTCTGAATTTATTGAGTCAAAATAAATACGAAATGAGAATTTTAAGAACGGAGAAGTAGATTGATTATTCCTAAAACATTAAAATTAATTATATATTTCTTAATTTTAATTCGTTCCGTTTAATTCTATTTAATTCTATTTAATTCTATTTAATTCTATCAATATTACCCGTTAATTGAATATCAATAGCTTAATATGCATTATTATTAATATACTTTATTAATATTATTGATATACACTTTTATTAATAATCTGCAATCGGTTTAAATCGTGCACGCGCGTTAAACAAAAAAAACTTCCATTTTAAATCTCACCATTTTTATTTAAAACGAGTGATACATTTTTCCCCACACCACACAACTTACTGAGTTTGGAGGTATGTCCAATTCTGCACATGACGTTTTGAGTGATACCAAGTGACGCTAGTAACTTTGTGTGGAGTTAAATAAAGGGAAAAAAATTGGAACAATGAAAACGATTGTTTACAAAGTTGAAAAAAATGTGAACGAAAAATGCAAGTTTCAAAAATTGAAAAATTTGGGGGGGTTACAATTTTCATGATGTGAAAATCTAATAAGATTAAGGAAGAATAGAAATTTTTAGATAGATTGTCCTTTTTTTTTGACAGACGCATTGGACACACATATCGGCAAAGTGCTTTGAATGATACTACTTATATATATTTATATATTCATTGCATATAACTAAACATAATTATAACTAATTCTAGGTGATTTTGACGATTATTAATTGACACAAGTTTAATAACATTTAAATAATAATAGCCTCAATTATCATTTCAAATTATCTCGTTCTCGTTTATTATTATTATTATTATTTTAGTTATTATAGTTTTATAATAATATATTTATCTATTTTCATACACTCTTTGTCGTTCAATCTCCCAATAGTTTATCACTATTTATTTTTCATATGTGTTTGTCCTTAATTAATACAACAAATTAAACTAAATTTAACTATCATCTTCCTTTATGTGCTACGTTCTTTTTTTTACGTTTCAGATTAACAATTTTCTTCAATGAAATACTGTTTATTCGAATAGTCCCCCAAATTTATACTTAAACTTGTTAATCCCGGTTAATACTTCAAATATTTTATAATTTTAAAATATAATTTTAAAATAAAAAAAAAAAATAATAATAATTTTAAAATAAATAAATAAAATAAAATAAAATAAAATAGTCGGTATGTTTACTGATTAACTGATATTACTTGCGTGTGTGTGAAATATTTCGCGTTACCTCCCTTTTTTCCGTTCACCTCCCTCAAAATTTTTCATATAAAATGACCTTCACTTGGAGGATGTGAGAAGCTTCAGGATTCTCTAAAACATTTCCTCAAAATGAAAACATCAAAAATTGTCCTCTTTATTTTTTTTTAATTAATTAAACAGTAATACCAACTTCTTATTCTCAATAATGAATAGTGTGTGGTTTCTGAGTCATTGCGAAACCTTTCCTTCTTATTTTTATTTAAATTATATATTTATCAATATTCGTATTTCCTTTTTTTTTTTTAAATAAATTCATAAAAAAAAAAAATGAAAAAAATTCAGAGTATATAAAAAATATCAAAAAAAAAAAACTTATAACCAACACAAGACTTTCCATCTCTTCCGTATTATACAGTTTCTCCTTTGTTTTTTTCTATGAACTCAAATACTTTTTTGACGAACCTTTTTTTTTTATTTTTACTTTGCGGCACTATTAATAATGACTCTCGATTCCGGGTTTTAAACAAAAAAAATAAAAAAAAAAAAAACTATATCAAATATTTTTAACTCTATAGTTCGTCTTGACTCAGAAACAACACACTTAACCACTACTCTTTTTAATTTCGTATAAAACAAAATTCGTTGTTTTATTTCACGAACAATACGTATTCGTTTTTTAAAATTTATTTTATTTTATTTTATCGTCGAAAAACTTTCGATACACATTTTTTTCATGGAATAAGTCAAAACATGATTAATTAGAAATGCTAGTGTCGGATTTGGGTTTGCGGAAATTTTTTTTGCTCAATACCGGCGAGGAAGGCTAGCATTTTTAATTTCTCATAGACATCATTCTCATGATATTATCGGAAACGATTATTGTACACGATTTACCTTTATAAAATCCAAATTCAATTACTCCAATTCTATACTCCAATTATTTTTTACTCTGATCGGATTTTTTCATTTTTGAAAATTTTCTCTCATAAACGCCATCCTTTTTATTTGTTGGTATTACTGTTGGTAATCTTTTTTTTTGAAGGATTATGGTAAGCTTTTTAGGAAATTTGTTGTCTGGGGAAAGATGAGGCTGTGTAACATCCGATTAACATTTATCTGAACAATCTTTTTATTATAGTTTTAGGGATCCCCACTGCGCCGCAATCTTATTTCAATCGGCATCTATATATAGACTTCTTGCGTCGCTTTGGGCATTAACTTGTTCATGGCAAACATAAGGTTGGTAATGTTTATAAATCATGTTACTTTGTTAATTTATCTTTTTATTTATTTATTTATTTATTTTAAAAAAAATTATTTTTTTATTTTTTTCATAGACGACTTATCTAACCTTTAACTAGGAATAGGATTTGACAACTTGTGTCATGGCGTCAAGATACTCCTTTTGGATAAATAAAAACTACTTTATACGAGATTTATGTAGCTAGTCTCGCTTTTGACCAAATATATCTAAATATAGTAAAGTAGTTTCTTTATTAATACTTTGAGACAAAAAATCTCTAAAGTTGTATATAGGTTTTATTTTATTTTATTATTTTATTTTTTTCATTATTTTTTTATATATATATTTTTTCTATCTATCTATTATATCTTATTGGATTTTTTTTTACCATTATATTATATTATTTTATTTTTCCAACTACTTTTTTAATATAAAAAAAAAAAAAGTTTCAAAAAATTCTAAAACTCAAAAAAAAAAAAAGTCGTTAATTCAAAAATTTTTTTATTGAAATTGAAATTGAAATTGGAGATGTTGTTATTGCTTTGATTTGATATAAGATATTGTTGCCATTATTTAAAGTAATGAGATTTATTGCTTTGATTTGATTTAAGATATCGTTGTCATTATTTGAAGTATCACTATATATTTGAAGTAATAATGCAAAGGAAGGATACGATATTGCTTAACAAAAGAAAAAAATACAACTTTATTTTATTATTTTACAATTAATTATAGTTTAGATGAATTTTAAATATTTCGAATACTTGAACATAAGAAAATAATATTCTTTCACAATTAAGATTACAAGAATTTTATTCCAAAATAGTTTCATTTTTATATTTGGCAGTATCTTCAGCAGAAATAGTTGGAACACTATACTTCTCTTCGGCTTTTTTTAATAATTCCAAGACTTCCGCATCTTCGGTCTAATGAATATAATATTACATATAATTAAGATACCATTTTTTTTATATATAATTATCAAATATGTTATTCTCAGTTTTAAGCAAAATTACCTGTGAGAAATCTACGTAAAATTGACCGATTCCACCTAAGTTTCGAGGTACCATCGTACAAATTATATTATCCACTTCTTTTGACATTTTTGAAAGTGTATCAGGAGCAGCGACTGGAACCGCAACAACAACTTCGGCGGGTTTACTACACGATATAAACAAATAAATATATTATGAAAAGAAATATATATATATATATAAAGTATTTGAACAATATTGGTTATACTTGCAGCCTTTTTATAGATGTATAAGCTGCTCGCATTGTTGCTCCTGTAGCAATTCCATCTGTTAGAATAAATATTTATTAATTGATTGATTTTTAAAAGAAAAGATAACATGTGTATAATAATAAAAATATTTTCCATCAACAAGGATTACAGTTTTTCCAGTAATATCTGTTGCAGGTTTTCCCTTCCTATAAAGTTGGTTTCGCCTTTGTAATTCTTCGGTCTATAATAATAATAATAATAATAATAGTAATAGTAATACTCGTTTTAATTCCTTTTTAAATAATAATAATAATTTCTTTTGAAATTTAATTATTACCTCACGCTTAATGACACGGTCGATTGAATCTTGACCAATGTGAAGCATTTTGATTATGTCATCGTTAAAAATTTTGGAAGTTTCAGTAATGGCACCTACGGCCAATTCTTCATGACTATAAATTAAATTAGTTTTTTGTCTTCTACTTTAGCATCCACTACGTATATTTATATCACGTGTTACAATCGTTTACAACTTACCCTTCGACACCAATTTTTCTGACTAAAAATACATCCAACGGAGCTTTTATTTTTTGTGCAATCTGGTAAGCAACCGGAACCCCTCCTCTTTGAATTCGAATTTTCATTGAATTTTTTACTCATTTATTAAATGGGGAAAAGATAATAAAGATATAATCATCCATGATAAAAGTACCTTGGTAATGCTAAAATAATAACATTCTTATTAGCATTATCATATTTCTTCTCGACATCATTCGACAGAATAATACCAGCTTGAACGCGGTTATAAAATCTCTCGCGCATTTTTAAATTGATTATCTTTTAGAATTTTATTTCCTTTTCCTGAAATCAAAATTAAATCAATTCGTCCTTAAACAGGAAAAAAGAATTTATATAATTAGATAAAAAAAAATTGTTCAATTTATTTATGTAATAATTTAATTGTGAGTAAAATTTATTAAAACGTAATTATGATCGAAATATTATACCATTTTAAAAACATTTTAGTACTTTTTAGTATTTTCAACATGGGAAACATGTGATTTTTATTATTATAATTATAATTGGGTTAAAAATCGGTTTTTTTTTTGATTAAACAATTTAAACAATTTATTCCTATTCGTCATCAATGTATAAATGGTACATTAAGAATGTTAATTATTTTCTAAAACAATTTAAACAAATTAAACAATTTAAACAATTTAAACAATTTATTCCTATTCGTCATCAATGTATAAATGGTACAACCGCTCAGAAAATCGTCAAAAATCCTCCCGAATCACTTAAATATTTTGACTATTCTCATATTAATTCATCTATTCAATCCAATCAATCCAATCAGTCCAATCAGTCCAATTTCTCTTTAGATGATTTTATTATTCTTCCCAATCATTTCACTTCACTCGAACAAGAATTTCTCTTAGACCAATCCTTAAAGAAATTTAAAAGGGTTTTTGGTAAAAAAGTAACTTATCAAGATGCTCATTTTGATGGAGTAATTCATGGATATCGAGAATGTCAGTCTACTCACTGGGATGATGATGAAAAGACGAATGAAATTTTTAATAAAAAAATATTTAGTCTTTTTCCTGAGAATCTTCGATGGTTACCTGTACATCTTTTGGAATTAGCAAATTATGGTGGAATTAAAGCTCATATCGATAATGTTGAGGTATCCTTTATAGTTATTATAATAATTATTTGTTATTTATTATTATTATTATCATTCTTCTTATTATTATTGGCTTTTAAACATTCAAAATTCAAAACTTCAAAAACTTTTTTTTTTAGTATTCTGGAAACATAGTGGATGTCGTATGTCTGATGTCTTCAATTGTAATGAGACTTCGCCACAAAGATAATCCTCAATTTTATTTTGATGCATTACTAGAACCAGGATGTCTTTACATTCAACGGTATTATTATTATTATTATCATCATCATTATTTCATTTTTAAATAAATTATAATTATAATAAATCGTAATAAATTACAAAAAGTGATTCAATTCGATATAATTTTACTCACGAAATTCCCGTGAACCCAACCGAACACAAATTCAAAGGAAATATTATTCCAAAGTCACATAGAATTTCTTTAATGCTTAGGGTAAATAAAATATTATATTTTCAATTTTTGCAATGTCAGGTATTTAATTTATTAACGATTTTATTCTAATTATTTTAAAATAATGCAATAAAAATATAACGTAGAATTTGAAGGAATAAAACGCGAGAGAAAATACCCTTATTTAAATCTTGCCATTTAGTAAAATGTAAAAGAGTTTTGAAAATCGAT